ACACAAATGTGTGGCCGGAGCAGGGTCAGTGTTTGTGGTAATCACCAAGGCCCGGGGAGTCCCCTTTCTCTGAAGAAGAGGGGGGCAGGAACAGAACAGCAGTTCCCAGACCCTTGAGGAAGCGACACCCACACCTCTGTATGCAGCTGTGCAGAAGGAGTGCAAACCCGACAAGCCTGTTCGCAGTGACAAGCATTCCCCCGGGGCCCACGCGGGCCAAAGGCGGGCGGACTCCGGCGGTGAGCGGCCTGGGCGCGGGAAACCCGCTCTGGAACCAGCTGCGGACCAGATGCAGCCTCCGGCCCCTCGGAGCAGCAGCACCCTGCCTCGTGACGTGACGGCAGGCCCCTCACCACCAAGCCGGGGTTTCACTCCTTAGGTCACCGCGGGTCACAGAACCACAGCTTCTTGGGGTTAGAAAACTCCTCAAAGCCCAAAGACGTGGACTTTTAAAAATAACCTTTTGCAGGAACAAGCTGCATCCCCTGTCTCTGTCTTCCAAATTAGGGAGTTTTCTTATTCTGATATAATCTAAGGAAGTTCTGACAAATATGCTAGAAAGGCAACTTTATATTAAAAACAACATTGGATTCGGGGTCAGAAGACCTTAGCAGTAGTCTGGCTCAAGCACCTGGAAGCCACCTGACCTTGAGAAATCACTTAACCTATCCGAGCTTCAGTTTTTTATTTAATGATATCTAGTATGCTATTTCCCAGGTTTACTGTAAGAATCAAATTTAAATAAAATAATGAATGTGAATGAGCTTCAGAAACTATAAAGGGTTTAATACAAACATGGTAGTCTTAGCTTTTTCGCAGAGCCAGTTTACAGTACAGCCGGAATAATCTGAAAGCTAATGGTTGTTTTATTTCCAGGAATCCAGCACATACATACGGCCCTCACCTTCCCTATCCTAAGAAGTAGGCCCCTGCATGACACAGTCAACTCCAAGTGACCCAGGGGCTGATTACTGAGGGGCCTTTTCCTTCTAGCCTTCGTACCTTCTACTGCTTTCCCTCAAGAATGTCCTGCTAATCTACACACGATTAGGAAATTAATGAGGAGTGTGCCTCAATCTATTACTTTGAATAACAACTCTGTAAAAGTTTTAGCAAAAGGAGGGATAAAATGACTAACCAAATGGACATTTTTGGATAATCTGTGGCTTTACTTATCCACAGTTAATTCCTCACATCACTGTCAGGGAGTCAAGGTCAGACAGACTGAGACTAGTCCAGACAAGATACTCGCATTTTCTCAGTCAACAACAAAGTGGCCTGTACTCTCTTACGTAGCTGCAATAGGGATTTGAGTATCAGCCATTCATTCATTTAGTCAGCAATTATGAGTGGAGCACCTACTATGTGCCAGAGCTCACCACATACTCTAAAAACTCTATTTTGCTGCCCTTGTCACTGGCCCTTCCTTGGGATATTGCACAGAGCATCTTGGCAAAGCTCACAGCCGGACTCTTAGAAATTCTATCCACTTTTCTGTTATCCCAGAACAATCTTACCCTGGCACTAAGGTCAGCAAGCTACGGTCCTGGGGCCAAGCTCTGCCTGCTGTCTTTTTTTTTTTGTAAATAAAGTTTTACTGGAACACAGCCACACCCATTTGTTTACATGTTATGTAGGGCTACTTTCCTGCTACAACAGTGGACTTCAGTAGCTGTGGGAGAGACAGTATAGCTGAAAGCCTAAAATACTACCTGGCCCTTTACAGAAAAAGTTTGCTGAGCCCTGTGCTAAATAATAATGCCTAAATCAAAATCCATTTCTCCTATAAGTTTCTGCTTAGGGACCACCACAGTAAGCTCCTTAAAAGCAGAGAACTTCTGTGTTATCTTGTCATACAGAACCCTGGGGTAGCAGAGAGTAAAGGCTTAGAGCAGACACACAAAATCAGACATGTCCTTCCCTACATTTTGTTTTCAACCGACAAATGCCTTGGAGTTGCATGGAAGACAGCATGAAACCACCGGTGTTCGGTTACTCTGACTTCTAATTCCTCAGAGTTCCTCCGACTAAGACTTCCAAGGCTCAGTTTTTGGCCTCTATCCCTCTGCATATTTATTTCCTGATCTGATGTGGAATTAGAGTTAAATAGGAGCTATGTGCTTGAATTCCACGTGGCTGGCTCAGCGGGAAACTCCAGGGCAGGTTTTGTGTCATGCCAAACTCCTGTTAGCCTCAACTATGCTCATTTCCAAAGCTGTTTACTTAGCTCAAATAAATCTTAGAGGGGAATTTGCATTTGGACGCACACCTTCTTATGCACCAATTCTGTGCGTGATAACCCTGGGGCAGCCCAAAGACTGAGGAAAAGAAAAGGAGGCATGGTGTTTACTGAATGGCTTCCTGGGCAGGCCGCTGTCCCAGCGCTTCACATACACTTTCTCAGCTCTCAGCCACAACCACCCCATGAGGTGGAGCTGTGAGCCTCATTTCACAGATGGGGAAACTAGGGAGAAGGGCGCTGTGCACCTTGTCCACGTTCACAGAGCTGGTAAGTGCCAAAGCTTAGATTTGAACCCACTGTGTCAGAATGTGAAGTCCGTGTTCTTCTGACCTGGTCACAGTGCCTTAGGATACCCTCACCATCGCCATCACGTCAGCCACTGCACGTACATTCAAGAAACCTACATTTACAAAATCAGTCACCCTTTCCTTCCAGTGGCCTATACAAAACCCATCTTTGGCCCTTGGGAGATATCGGGGCGCCTCCGCATCACAAAACAATCAGCCAAAGGAGAATGGGGGCATTACCAATCCACAGCTGATGCTAGTCCTCGGTCGGCAAACGTAATTACAAGTGACTTGGATAGGTAAATGGATTTTAATGACATACCTGAGAACCTCTGTATGAATGGACACGTTTACTGCTAAAATGTAGGAAGCCAAGCAAGAGAGCGCGCCCACACCACAAAAGAAAATGTTAGTAACACTCTGAATACAGAATAAATGTATCTACAGCATAAGCCTAGGAGTTCATATCTACGAACAGCTTTACTGTATATGGAAACATAACCAAGCACCCAGCTGCCCTAAAAATATATATGGAACTATTACCTTTAGAAGTTACAATAAGTGCTGCTATCAAAACCCAGAGTTTATCATTGTTCAGTTGGGTATACAGAAAAATAACCAGTGTGGCAATTAAGCATTCTAGCACAATTCCAAGCAAGAATTCTTCCAGCAAGCCAGACACAACATCGCTGAGCTTCTCTTCTGTGCGGAATGTACCTGTAACCTCGCTTGCAATACCACACGACGCTCAGCCGCTGTCATCTACCTTAACACACTGCCATCTAATTGGCTGGAAGTATAAAAGAATTGCTGATTACATTTTCATGCAAGTGAAATTCAGATGTCCACTTTGTTTTTTAAAGCTCTGGAAGAGAGCTTTCCAGGAAGTAGAAAGAACTCTGCAGTGGAGACGGGCAGTCTGGTTGTTTCCTAAGTGGGTAGAGAAGAAGGCGTCCTGAGGAACAAGCCTCCACGCGCCCTTTACAGAAGTGCCTCTTTCTCAAAACCCACGGAGGAGAGACCTGGACCTCACAACACCACCGCCCAGTTCAACCACGGCTCCTTTTTCTTGCTAACCAGTCAGTATATTCCTTATTTTTAAATTACTTCATCCTTTATTTAAAAAAAATTTTAAACAGATAATTTCAGAGAAGGAAAATAACTTCTTTGTAGCTGGTGATAGGAAAAGTTTATTGTCAGTTTAAAGTTTATAGCCTAAGTAAGTAGATTGAGGAATTTGCCTAAATTTGACAAATCTGACATAGCATTACTACTTTAAATAATACACACTAACGTTTCTTAACTACAAATAAGACAGTCTTAGGGTCTTTAGACAGTCTTTTCCAAAATTAACTTGAGCATTTAATAATATTCATGAGATAGTTAAAACAACTTTCTATGAACTGTTATCATTGGAAACCCCAGTAGCGACTTACCTGCTGGTGGCTTTATGAAAGGTGGTGGAATTAAAGGTACAATAATGGGCACATTGCCATGATCCTTTGACCCTGCAGGTGAGTCAGTGAGTCCATTTCCTGTGGCAAGCCCTGCATAGCCTGTGCTTATATTGTACGGTGAAATAACACTGTCCTCAGGTAATTTTGGTTTTGGCAAAGAATTTTCTGTAAAAGAAGAATATCACATTCCTTATTAGAAAAGGACTTAATTTCCTTACGACCACATTTTCTCAAGTAACATGGTAACATGGCTATGCAACAAAACAAAATCGTCTTTGCAAATCTTTCAACACTTTACCAGAACTCCACAGACCATCCTGGACCTTTGTATTCTTATTACGAAAAATTTCCAAATCAAGCCCTTTATAATTTGCTCCGCTATAATAGCTAACATCCTAATTGTGTCATAGTGACGGGCTTGAGCACCATGAAGCTTTTCCATGTTCAAAGAGACGTGCAGCATGGATCCCTCTCTGTCTACCAAGCGGTAAGACTAACATAGGCCCCCAACGCCAGCACAGCGACTAGGTCCCACTGCCTAGTAAACTTGGGTCATAACATAGTGAAAGGAACCCATGAGAAAGAAGCAAGTGATTAGGAAGAAAAGTATTGTTTCACAGGGTAAATTCATTAAATTATCCTTTTTCTTGCTAACCAGTCAGTATATTCCTTATTTTTAAATTACTTCATCCTTTATTTAAAAAAAATTTTAAACAGATAATTTCAGAGAAGGAAAATAACTTCTTTGTAGCTGGTGATAGGAAAAGTTTATTGTCAGTTTAAAGTTTATAGCCTAAGTAAGTAGATTGAGGAATTTGCCTAAATTTGACAAATCTGACATAGCATTACTACTTTAAATAATACACACTAACGTTTCTTAACTACAAATAAGACAGTCTTAGGGTCTTTAGACAGTCTTTTCCAAAATTAACTTGAGCATTTAATAATATTCATGAGATAGTTAAAACAACTTTCTATGAACTGTTATCATTGGAAACCCCAGTAGCGACTTACCTGCTGGTGGCTTTATGAAAGGTGGTGGAATTAAAGGTACAATAATGGGCACATTGCCATGATCCTTTGACCCTGCAGGTGAGTCAGTGAGTCCATTTCCTGTGGCAAGCCCTGCATAGCCTGTGCTTATATTGTACGGTGAAATAACACTGTCCTCAGGTAATTTTGGTTTTGGCAAAGAATTTTCTGTAAAAGAAGAATATCACATTCCTTATTAGAAAAGGACTTAATTTCCTTACGACCACATTTTCTCAAGTAACATGGTAACATGGCTATGCAACAAAACAAAATCGTCTTTGCAAATCTTTCAACACTTTACCAGAACTCCACAGACCATCCTGGACCTTTGTATTCTTATTACGAAAAATTTCCAAATCAAGCCCTTTATAATTTGCTCCGCTATAATAGCTAACATCCTAATTGTGTCATAGTGACGGGCTTGAGCACCATGAAGCTTTTCCATGTTCAAAGAGACGTGCAGCATGGATCCCTCTCTGTCTACCAAGCGGTAAGACTAACATAGGCCCCCAACGCCAGCACAGCGACTAGGTCCCACTGCCTAGTAAACTTGGGTCATAACATAGTGAAAGGAACCCATGAGAAAGAAGCAAGTGATTAGGAAGAAAAGTATTGTTTCACAGGGTAAATTCATTAAATTAACCCATTAATATCCATTAAAAATTAAGAATAATGAAAATAGAGAAAACTTACAATGATGTGAACTTTGTGAACTTTCTCCTTGCATATAAATCATTAAAAAAAAATATGGAAAATAATTTTGTCCCTCTAGTAGCATATCCTGGCGCTCTCTGCGTGTTCCCCAGAGGCAAAGACTATTACCTAGACCAAGTTATCACACCAGCTATTACCTTTCAGAATACAAACTCATGACTTGCATTTTTCATTTACAGTGAAACAGATGATACTATCTCCACAGCAGGACGTGTACAATTTCATAGCAAGCTTAACATAAAATTTGTCATGTACGTCCAAGCCCACATGCCTGCAGGAAGGCTCATTCACATTTCACTGCTAGGCATTTACGGAAAAGCGCTTACAGACTGGAAATAAGATGCATGAACAGGTAGTTTATGCCACCGGATTCTGAATGCAGTGCAAATACTGAGCAAATTACCAATGGTGACGCACAATTCGTTTTTACCCACATATTATCATAGTTCCCCAAATGGGTTGCCTTTTTATACTTTCTTTGGCAAACTCTCATTGTAAATTTAGGTTCATAAGTTCAGTATCTGTATCAACACCCACTAATGGTTCTCGACCTCCTTCCTGAGATAGCTGGCACTACCATCCCCCAGGACAACCAGTGTTCGCTCAACTCTGCCAAGCTTCTAATTTCCACTCTTTGGCTGGGCTTTGACAAAAATTCTTACAGAATAATGTAGGATCCAATCATCTGCTGCCCTCTTACTCCTCTTACTTATACAAGGCAGTGAGGGTGGGGGAAATTTTCGAGCACAAGACAGAAAATAGGGCTTTCCTTTTTAATTCCCACCAAACTGTGATTCTCTCTTCCGGTCTGAAAATCTAACCCTAACATCTCACTTAACAGAAAGCATCAATCCCCAACAATTGGTATAATACATCAAAGGACTTAGGAAACTAGAAGAAGTTAGCAAACATTGTCCCTTTCTATAAGTTTACAGGCAGGACCACAGCACTTAAGGTCCCTAGTACTTGTCTGGCCAGCTCTTCCACTGCTGGAAGGAAATTAAGCTGTGCCTACTTTTGTTCTATGCTGTGCTTCTATATTCGGTGGAATTCTGCTAATGGGAAAGCACTATTGGGGTTGTACATTTAAATCAACCATTGGCATCATCAACAAAACAGGTCCCAAAGCAGCTCAGTTCTGGCAGGTTGAGATAGTTAATCCTCCTTCACATGAACAAAGGGACATTAAATGTCATTACCTTTGAGAACAGAAATGTGCTGCCGGCTCTCTCCATCTGCAGGGCAGCTCCTGAATTCAATATCTTCACCATCTTTCAATTCAACCTTATCGTAGCCATACCAGCCAAGGAGTTCATTCATGGTGTTTTCTGCAAAGTTCTGAAAGAGAAGCATAGGCTTCTTATTTACATAATCAATAACTGAGAAGAATGCATAAATCGCATTCTGTTCACACTAACCATTTGCTGCCAGCCCCACCCCACCTTCCCCAGAGTCATGTTCATTTTTCAAATCATGTTCAAAAATTGTGAACGCATTTAAGTCTCAGGATGAGGCATCTAATTATGACCGGGCTTCAGACATTTGTAATTTAAAGATAATAGGAAAAAAAAGGCATTTGCCAGTTTGCTTACGAATAGGAAGTCGTATTTAAGCATATTCTCCTGCAAAGTCTATATCCCCACTAAACACCAAAATATTGAAAAGCAAAGCATGAACACAGCTAAGAAAATATCGTGAAAGTGAAAACAATGAATCAACCATTTTTGCGGCTCAGATTATTTAAATTAGAATTGCTTTCTGGTTCAGGTATTGTTTCTTAACATGGCTTTTATCTCAGATAAAGCAGAATCTCAGTAAAGAAGTAATTCCTCAGTTGTCAACTACTACCATATAGAATGCTGAATAGGCTACAGGGGTCTCCCTTTTGAATTTCCCTTTTGCAAGAGTATACTTTAAAAACAAATGCATAATTTGCTTAACAAATTTCATTAATGACAGGTTCTTTCTCCATGAAATCTAAGGTCACTATGATTTATCTTCTGACAAGTGACATAAAAGTACCAAATAACTTTAAGTTTACTGGCAAGTCGAGACTGTATAATGTATGAACACACTTTACGAACTATAAACCAATATATAAATGTAAGGTATTATCATTATTATTGCTACTATAGATATCAAACTGTGAAAACAATAGGTATAGCTGGGCAGCTCTAAAGCTTTAGTATTAGTTGACTATTTTTAATAAATGCATCAACTGCTAGATTGGGAAGCAAGATGTGAGACTGTGTGTATGAATGATCTTAATGCTTGCATATGCCTTAGAGCATCTCTGAGAAACAGAGAATAGAATGGTGGTTACCAGGGGGTGGAAGGTGTGGGGAAGTGGCGAGATAGTGGTCAAAGGGCACAAACTTCCAATTAAAGATGACCAAGTTTGAGGATCTAATGTACAGCATGATGATTATAGTTAATAATACTGTGTTATATGCTCGAATGTTGCTAAGAGAGTAGATGTTAAATGTTCTCACCAAGAAGGAAATGGTAACTACAGGACAGGGTGGAGGTGGTAGTTAATGCTGTGGTGGTAATCATTTTGCAATATGTAAATGCATCAAATCAACATGTTTTATACCTTAAACTTAGACAATGTTACATCAATTATATCTCAATAAAGCAGGAAAAAAATTAAATAAAAAGAAGGGCCCTATACTACAGACTAGGGCTTAATAAATGTTCGTTGAATGAATTTCTATTTTTAAAAAAAAGAAAAGCATCTCTATCTAGCAAGGCAGCCTGAGCCTAGACTTACAAATGAAAAAGTATATATTCTAAACGTCTCTGTGGCTCAACACATCTTTTCTCATTCTCCCTAGAAGCTGTCATTTCTGAATTACACTAGGATGTATAATTTATATGCCTGAAACAAAGCACCGAGGCTAAACCAGAGTGTGCACAGCCTCAACGTGCAAGTTCCACGTTCTCTTTAATTTCACAACTTTAGATTTCAGCAGGGGTTGCATAAAAAAGAAAAGATATTACACTACTGATTCCACAAAACAAACCTGGCATTTCAAACCACCCCCAGGATGCTAGATTTTTTGCTTTAGCACCACTTCAGCTCAGAGCTTCAAGTGGGTTGGTCTGTGATGGTTTAGTGCACTGGCAATTTTTAAAAACCTAGCCAGATTGATTCAGTGTTACCATCCACAAGGCCAAGAGACAGTCATATCAAGCTTTCAGGAGGCCTTTGCCCTGATTGGTCATGCCCACATTAAATAGACATTCTTTTCATGAATGTACCAAGATGATACGATCGATACATATAATAAGCTCAGCAACTTCTGTAACACCGCTGAGGAGGACTCGGCTAAATCATGCTCTTCTGCATCAAAAGAGATCCTTTTAATGAGGCGTCAGTTTCCCCCAAAAGCCAAGGTCTTTCCCTGAGCTGAGTGCCTGGACTGGACAATGACAGTCAATAAGCACACAAAATCATGGTCCTCCACCAGCATGTTGGCAGCAGAAATCTCCAAGGATGAGGATTATGCCGTACGGACTGAAAAACCAATTCCCAGCAGCGTTAAAGCCAAGTTCAAGCCATCCCAACAGTTGTGTGCCATTTGCCCTAATGTCTAAGAGAACCGTGCAAACAAGACAGAAAATCTTTCCCATAGTAACTCTGGCCACCACCTCCAATTTTCTAGAACATTTGTATCTGGGTGCCTCTCTCTCTCCAGTTCTGTCTAACCTCAGAAGGGACTCAAAGGCTACAGATGCATAATTCATGGAGCAACCTCCCAGCCAAGGATATAGGTTTGTTTGTTTTAGTCCAACTGCAAATCCATTCAGCCTTTCAGAACCAATCCTAGGGATGGGGTCCAGAAGTTTCAGACATTTGGGTAAAAAGTGAAAAACCTCAAGAGGATTATTAACACCAAATTCACATTATCTGGGCATCTGAACTGCACCACTTAGTTTATAGTGTGTGCAAAAACTCAGAGGCTCCGTGGGACAATCAGTATGAACTGGGTTTGTTCTATGGTTTTTGAGTTTCTATAAATGGCAATGAAAATAAACTCTAAAACATTCCCTTTCTTGTCATTGAAAATAAAAATAAGCACCTTTTAATGCTTTGATATATGGCTGCAAAAGCAGAAAACAAAAGGTTTATGAAGCCTCAAGCCATAAATCTCAAACCTTTCATGAGAAGAGGAAAGCGAAGAAAAAGAAAACAAACAGCAAAGTTTCCTGTAGTGTAAGGACAGTAAACAGGCGGTCACCTCTGCCTTATGTGCTACTGTACCAAGAAATCAGAGCGCTCCAAGGAATAGATCACGGAACACTTTTAATTTCTAGGTGGCATGTGATGCTAGATATCAATCATACTGGCTCTTCACAGTGCTGAATCAAAGGAATGAAACAGATTTTTGCAGTTATCATCCAAGAAACGTGACGCATTCTAGGAGAAGTGAATTAATGTTTATGGCCCATGGAGTTCTCAGATCCTTCTCGTAGAGAATTCCAGCAGTTATTTTTTGACTTTGTTTTGTACTATTGCCCTTAAAAAAGGGGGTATTGCTATAAAAGAATTATTCCTTTCCTGCACAAGTTTCTTATGTAAGTTGTTTTTTAAAAAATGTTAAGAAAAATAAAGCAAATAAGAGTTAAAATGCAGTGAGATTTTAAAGCTAGGAATGTTCAATAATAAAAGCTACTGTACTAAGGGAGAGGTGGTGAAATCTGCTCCCCCCCAAATCTTCACCCAGCATTTATCCTAGAGACTTGGGGCAGGACATTGTCTCTCTCTCTTTTTTTAATTGAAGTATAGTTGATACATGATATTATATTGAAGTGGAGTCTCTTAAAGTCCACCCCCCGCCCCAGCTCTAAGAGTCTGTGAAATTGAAGAACTTCTACTTATAAATACTTACAAAATATCTTCTGCAAAAAAATTAATATCATAATTACAATGATCACACATCATAAATTTTACTCAACAGCCACTATTCCAAATATTTTATCAATTGTTCCCATAAACCATCAAAATATGCAGACATTTCAATATTCTGGCAACTGAATCACATTTTGCAGACTGCCTCTCACCCTTGGAAGTGGCACAGAAATCCTTTTTGTCGTACGATGTGGTCCAGTTTGGGTCTGGAAAATAGGTCACTTTAATTATAAGGATAACGCCTAACACCCTTACAGCACTTTTCATTGTTTCCACATCCTATAAGGCCTCTGTTCCTTTCAGTTACCCTGAGTTTGGGATTGATTTCTGCAATAAACTTTTGGTGAACCTATGTGATATGCTTCATTTTACAACAGAAAATTAGAGCACCCAGAAGGTAGATGACAGGCAGGAGAGGTCACCCAATAAAGTCAGAACAGAATTACAGATCTTCTGAATCTTATCCCGGGCCTCTTTCTATCATCAGTTCTCTCCAGGACAATGTGTCTGTCAGCAATGCCAGAGACACCAGCTCCCTGGACCAAAGAGCTGCAAATCAATCATACCACAGGATCTCAGTATTACGTATAGCCAGGGCCAATCTACCTATGTTTAAATTTTGCTTGCTTTCAGATTGGATCAGTGGCCCCCTACTCTTTGTAATTATTGGTATTGTTGGAAATGGGAGTGCTCAGAATTCATGGTGAAAATTTAATCTCGGTGTGCAATTTTTTTGCACATATCTGCCCCGGCTTGCTTCGCAGCTGTACTACTTTGCCCCAGTACTCCATCCTCACCCTCTCCAACCCCCCTCTCTTGCCTCCAGAGGTCCTAACTAAGGACAGAAGACAATCCTAAAACATTTAGTCTGAAAGCATGATCTCTTCCTAGAATTAAAAAAAGGTCACAGAAAGATGGGAGAAAGGCAGGAGATCGTACCATTTCCCTTCAACTTCTGACTTTGTTAGATACTGGCAAGATTTATTTCTGTTGGAACTTAATTCCAGGACAATCACTGGATACTCTCCTTATCCAACTGGAAGTACTATGCAAATGTCAAAGTTCAACCTAAATGAGTTTTAATGGAATATTTTACAGGGTAAACAATAAAGAGTTGAAGTCAGGCATTTTGAAAATTGAACTCATTCTAAATTCTCAAGATACCTCTGAAATGTAAGTACTTCAAGGTTTTCAAAAAGGACTAATGATTTTATTTTGAAAATACCAGATTTTAAAACATAAGTATGTACCACTGATTCCTTTCATAACCTGGCCTTGTATAATTGAATGTTATGTTTTCAACTTTGTATCCTACCTAAGAGAGCAGAAAATTTTCAAAGTGCTTCGACTCATTCATTCAAATGAGAGAAAAGCCATTCCCTCCCTCTCCCCACACACATAATTCCCATTTTCACTCCGAGTCCCAGTTCTAGTAAGACATGTCATCTATCCT